TTCAAAAGCATTTCTTCCACTTAGATTGTTAAGCGGATTTTTCCAGGTCATCCTTCTTTCGGGATGACTTTTCCATCTCCTTTGTGAAGAAGTCCCTCCGATTCGCCCTTATGCAGCATTTGTGGAGAACGCATAGGCTGAATTTGAAGGTATGTTTTTTATTGAGATCATATATTGATTGGTTGAGTGAACGAATACTTTCGATTAATAATTATTGTAACGCCCTTATACAACTTTAAAAGTTGTGAATAAATAAAATATTCCTCCGGCTTGATATAGGAATGAAGGGCACTGGGGTCTGTTCTGCCGGCGGGAAGTGAGACTAAAAATATGTAGCCTCCTTGGAATTGATTCTTGAACTATGAAAGCTTCTCCGCTTAGTAGGCACCATGGAGGGCCTGAAAGCCTATAACCTGTTGGGCGAGACAAGGGTGTGAGGAGGGGGTAGGGTAGGGGTTGAGGGAAGCCAACTGATTAACAGGCCTGGCTCTCAATCGCGGACCGGCCAAGGCCTATCAGCTCTCACCACCACTTCAAAAGACAAGCTGACCTAGGGCTAGCTAGAGAATGACGGGTGGTTGATTTTCTCTCAGGTACATCTTTGATCTCACATTGTCCCCTTCAGCCATCTATAGCGCTTCCTATGCGGAAAAGAATTCGATGCAGTGAATAAGCTCAGGGAGGCACTGTACGACTTCAAATCTCCGCTTCCGCGTTGGAAACAGCTGGCTGAGCGTTAGTGTCGGCTAATAGCCGGGCATGGTGCATACCTCTGATACCTGGACGGTCTCATCATTCAAATACTTATAAAAAGGCGGGGCGGCCATTTTTGCGGTCAAAGTTTGCAATAAATGTGAGTTTAAGCTAGGTGATACTGCTGATCTTGATGTGATTTCGACAAGGTGGAACCATTCTAGATGCCTAGTTTCTTTGTTTCTTTATCTCTTATTCTATCGCAGTAGACTTCTTTGCCTTGTTTGATGGTGTACTGAGCACCTCCACATTTTTGATAGTTTCTCAATGACTGGCTTCGCTAGAATTTCATTATCACTTCAAAAGCGCCGATGGTACTTCTTGCTTTAGGATGGAATATCTGAGAAGATTGCTAGTGATATGAACGAGTACATGGACGTTCTGGTTTTTTTGCATGGTCATTTATACGACTCAGAGTGAGTTACCATCCAGCTTTGTCGGTGGACGATGTGATGTGATTTTTTTGGTTCTTAATGATCCGTCCGCGCGTAGTGTGCTGGTCCGATCACTGATTCTTTCACGTCTTTGCAACTCTAACGTCTGGTTGTCAGTACACGCTCTAACGCAAGAGCGCAGAATGCCCTCGTTACCAATAAGAGCCAGCAGTTTTTTTTTTTTTTGCCCCCTAACGTTTTGGGGGGAATTGGCCCCACTGTCACCAGAGCTTTACTGTGTGTGAACCAAGACACAGGTGAGTAAAAAGAGCATCAGGTGAGAGAATATACAGGGGCCAAAAAGACATTTTGCCCATGGCGCACATCATCGAAACTTTCGTCGCACAGGGTGCCGATGTTAATGAAAGTTTTACGGTGAAATATTCCTAAGGTGTTCCCCCGTAAACAGAAGCAGGCCCTCCTTCACTGTCCCCGCCGTCTTTAGAATATGACGTCATCTGCCGCCGCCACCGTCGAGCTCAACGAGGCTTACCGTAATCGCTCCGGCCTGAAGCTGCTTCATAATTTCTTCAATAGATTAACTGCTGAATAGCTTCCTAGAGACATTAGCTGTGACTATGCAAAACAACTTTTGACCAGCATTGGATGTCGTTAATGGTCTATGGTACCTTCGTCGACCCCGTTGAGCTCATACTGAGAACCATGTTTCCAGGGAGGAATCTTCTGAGTCGCTTAGTGTAGAAGGCTATCAGTCGAAAGAATAATTTTAAAAGATTAGAAATGTGGCTCTTTACGTACAAGCTTGGGGGCATCGATTGATTTAGGCAAGGTGATTAATGCTGTCTGAAATGGATCAAGTGTCTCTTTTTTTGCCACCCCTGTATGGCAACGGGGCTGTAATATCGCGTAAGGACCTTGATGCTGTTCTTTACGCTGCAGTCAGTGTACTGCATCTTTCCAAGTTTATAATCTTGATCCCTGATCTTTCGAAGCTTTGAATCACTGGTTAAGGGATGGAGTCCAACAAAGGAACTCATCAGCCTCTTGAATTCCACGAAATGTGCAGCCTGGAAGGTTTCGCGAAAGGATAGTGTCAAACGAATACAAAGTACGTTTCTGATAGTATCCCTAGATATGTTACAAGGGAAGCAAAGCTCCATCAAAATGTTCGCGCGAAGCGATTAGGACTTCCCAGAACAAGTGCTTGGCTATCAATTCCGCCATAATGTATAAGGATCGCATCTCCGCGAAGGTTGAGTTGCCGACCATACGTCATCAACCTTGTTTAATAGTCGCCTACGGTGAAGAATGCCAACAGTTTCTAAACAGTTTGAAGCAGTTCTGCCAATGACTAACCCACACAAATTCGCACAGCCCTCGCCCTTCCGTAGTTGTGAATAGAAGTCTGTATTCACATAAGCTGGTCAGGCGAGGACCATTATGGAGAAAGGCACCACGAGGATCATTTTGAGATGGTATCTTGCTCACAAGTCATCAAAAATTACTAGTAAAGCAAGACTGAATCAAGGGACAGATGAAAACTTGAAAGTGAAGAATACGTTAGTTGAGCACACACTGCGTATAAACGTAAGACCACGAGAACATAACTACCGTAAAAATGTTTTATTCATTACTTACTGGCACTTAACTGTTTTCCAATAAGTATATAGTGGTTGGAATGATGACATAATATGACGTCAAGCTTTCATTCCCGTTGCATCAAGATGAGCATAGGAAATTTTGCGAAGTTCGGTCACTGTCTCAGGTCCAGTTGAAAACTTGTCCTTAGCGCTAACGAGACATCGTGCATACGAAGTTGGGGCTTTCTGCCAAAAAACACGTGAGCGCCATGTATGCCATGTGCACCACTGATCCTAAGGGTACTCCGCCAGGCAACTAAGATGCAAACAGAGACGCCGTCAACAATGAATCTCTAACAGAAATCAATAGGCAACGTGATGAGTGCAGCAAATGACGCTCCTAGCTTTTCTTGGCCGAAAAGAGCGAGAACTAAGCTCACCGGGTGTAAAAGCTAATACTAACCTACACCTTGTGTAACTACACCTGAGTAGGACTGCTAAACATAATGTGTTTAGCGTCATAGTTTGTCCAGAGAACGTTTCTACTACATGGATTTGAGATAGATTGACTAGTCCAAAGTAGGCTCCTCGGTGGGCATCTCCTTGCAGTTGGCTGATTGACTTGATGACCTTTCCTTTTGAGTGCACTTTTAGTGCTTACCAATTTTCTCGTTCGTAAATATCTACACCAATGAGATCGAAATGCAATACCTAAAATAGGAAGTATTCAAGAATTCAGATACTGGACACAGTCGCTCAAACAAATGTCTAATGAAGAGCTTTCTCAATTGCTGAAACACAAGGGAATTGCAAAGTACGACATTGAATTAGATCCAATTAGCTTCGATGGTGAAGCTTCGGAAAACGTTGGTGATGTTAGCTTTTTTTCATATTTTTGTCGACGTGTTATTTCTCCAATATCTTCACTTTTGTCGTAAATCTCTGAATAGTCTTCGTTCATTATGAAGTTATTTTTTGGTTGCTCTATATGTCAAATCACTTTTCCGCTTGTCTGTATAATTTTGCTTTTCAACACCTTCACTGGGGGTTTTTCCAGGTGAATGTTTGGCCCTTTGACTACCATGTCAGAAATATGTTCTACCACAATTTGGCAATTATTTGGAACAAGTTTGGCAACTATTTGAGACAAGGACGCCCATTTGATATCATTCGTACACAAAGAGGAACAAGCGTTTCAATACCATAATTCGTTCAATACTGAGGCGATTCACTCCAGTAGCACTAGAGCAAATACTAGCACATATTATGGCCAATGTATGTATTTGACCCACGAGAAAGTGAATTTCGAAAACATCTGCTATCTGATCGAATGACCTATAGATCAATTTAAGAACACCTCCCAATAGTACGCGCGTTCATTCTTGCAACAAGATGCTAAGCTCAAACTGGATTTGAGAAGAACCATAGGCTGCGTTCTCAAGAGCTATCCACCAGCCCGTCCTGCTCTGCTCTTCTCTGTTCAGCTTTTGTTGACATCTCCTGCTCCGAAAACTGCGTCATTATCGAGGTCTTCAGATTCCGCTTTCGTGCTATCCATTTAGCTAGAATCCAGGAGACTGGGGTGCCTAACGTTGCATAGAAGTCCGCGGCGTTCGCTGATATCATTTCAGCTGATGAAATGTTCCTTCGAACGCTGTTCATGTTTCAGGTGATAAAATTAATCGGGCAGTGGTGCCACTGAAACTGCAAGTTTTAACAATATGCGAATTTTTAATTTTTTAGTTATTATCTTTTTGCGGCCGTACGCATGGCTCAATGAGTTGCGCTGGGGCGTGCTGTAATATAAGATTGTTGCAATGTAAATGTCGTACAGATTTAGTTGGGCAGCTCTCCAGAGGTGCTTACGTATTCATGCGAAAGAGGTCATCTAAGAGTATACATATAAATTGCCATTATTTATTTTTTTCTTGAATTCTTTCCTATGACTTATTGAAATTCGTGATGTGTGCACGTGAATGTTCTGCGACATGTTGAGGAGCTGATCCAGCTCAACACGGTCATAGCAGACTTTCGTAAGCAAAAAGCGACCTATTATATTATATCAAACCCGTCCCGTAGGCTCGGTGAGAAAAGAAAAAAGACTGGTTTATCATGAACACTCACGTTCACACAAAAGGCTTCGTATTCAAAAAATAACCATCAAAAGATTGCGAGACCGCACTTACTGGCCATATCCGCTAAATAGCTCTTGCCATAATACATTTTATGCTGCGCATCCAAGTCAACGACGTACGTTGTAAAGAGATAACGATCCCGAGGCTTCCAAAAATCCTGACTCTGGAAGTCCATCTGTCGTTTATCTCATTTACAGCCAAAAGATTGATCGTTGTTCACTCTACTGCTGCTTTTTTTTCTCAGAATTCCGGGAAACGATCGAGAAAATCATCGGTTGCTTGCGTTTGAAGAGATGATGAGAGAGAGGATATCGGCTGCACAACGCAATCCACAAACTTTGGCACGCCAGAAGGCAGTTAAAAGTATAGAGGTCAGTGGGACAGCATTGCGGGTTTGTGTCTTAAAGGTACATCCCATGATCAAGATGGTCACTTCATTAACCCTTTCCGGACCGCCTGACACACATGGTGTGTCAGGAACTTCAAGAGCTGATTTTTCCAAGAGTTTGGTTTTTCGATAAAATATTTTATGTTGTTACATACCTATGTAACAGACTCATGCCATATGTATGAAAAAACCTAGACTTTAGGTTTAATCTAGGTTCTAAAATAACCAAAGAGTAAATGGACTTCCACTTTGGGCTCAAAGAAAACAGTTGTAGTTCGCTTGAAAACACTTAAAAACGAAGAATTTGTGAAATATCTGCTCGTCGTATCTGATTCTTATGGATCCAATCGTTTTGGGCACGTTCTACTCCCTTTTTCTCCATACCAACTTATTTTGAACAATTTTCGTCCCTTCCTCCCTTTTTATGGCCCTTTCCCTTTTTTTGCAAAACAGTTTTCTGTCAAATTAATCTTATATATTCTTCGAGACATGACAAAGACATAAACGAGACAAAATAATGGCTTTAGTGGGAATACAGATTAAATATATGATATTTATGCTTGCCGCGCAGCATGCGGCCGTGAGCGCAAAAAGTGCGCGGTCCGGAAAGGGTTAACTATTATAGAAGTGAAAAATGTGCGAAGTGGACCAAGAGTGGAGAAAAAAGAATCGAAAACCCTAAAATTAGACCTTCTCCAGCGTGAGAATTCCAACCACTGAATGTTATCGAATTTCCACGGGGATTTGAAAGAAGACTCAGGTAGAGCGATAGAATTTTTGAAACGAAACAAGTGTAGACCCAAGCAGAGTCAACCCTGCGTTGCGCAGTTCGCAACGGCACGTTGAGAGATCCTCAACGCACGCTGTATGGGCGGAGACGCAGACGGCTCGAGCATGCGAGTGTGAATGTTCGCGCGAGAGAACGTGTCTAATCGGGCGAAACTGCGCAACGTGGCCGTTGAAAACTGCGCAACGCAGGGTTGACTCTGCTCAGAAACTTGATTCATTTAGTGAGCTGAACCTTTCAAAATTTGCCAAAGGAACGTTAATCGAGTAAGCCTCACCGTCAGAATATACGATCCATGTTGGAGTAGACGCTTGCAGTATGGCTCGATTTGCAGACAGTTGCTTGTAGTTTTGGTCAGTTGATGTGCAAGATTTTTAACATTGTGTTTCACATTCAGCAGTGGGTTCATTCATGAAAGGAGAACAAACGGTTTAAGACAGGTGCCATTTTCGTCACATAAATCATCAAAAATCTCCGTACGTAAGGGTTTAGTGAATTTATTGGAAAAAGTTGTGGCGTCAACAGGCGCCAGATGACCTGCTCTGGGAACGAATCTCAATTTTCGTGATCACGACACCTTCGTATCCCTTATAGGAAGGTTGGAAGGTTTACGGCGAAAGTCGAGAGTTTACGCTTGGTCCGAAAAAGGAGCGGCCATGGGTAGGCTGCAAACCCGCCAGTGCACATGCAGAAGAACGAGACACGACTCAAGCAAGCAAAAACTTACACGTAATCTAGATGTGATTTTACGTGGATCAACTTTCCGGATAAGCAAACCGGCCCTTTTGGCGTTTCTGTGGCCGTGGATGCTAATTGGGGATGGATTGGGGAGGGATGGGGTCCCTGGACGGTCGACGGACTACTTCAACTCCGTCCTTAAAACCTGCCTCAATTCGATGCATACCTCAGGACTAAGGCTTAAAGAGAGGGTGGACCTGCGAGAGATCGTAGGTCCGTCCTCTCTACAAGGCTTAGTCCGGGGATAAGCAAACCAGCCTAGGCAAGGAACTATTACACATCTGACAGCGAAACAGAACTGCGACTTGTCATTGTCTGTGACTCTAATCCATCATATTGGGTGGTTACCAGGGTTGGATTCAATCGTACACTTCTTTTTGTTCGGTTGAACACAACACCCACATTTGTCTCTCCCCCCCCCCCCCATTGGCATTCATGCTCGGGACCTATATCAGTGGGTTGGTTAAAATATAAAATTTTCCTCTAAGAATTGCTTGCAGGTGTAATTTTGGTGTCCTTTAACGAATTTCATTGCATTTCTTGCCAATTTTGACCGCTCCCAATGTGCTTGGAAAGTTTAAATGCAGTTCTGGTCACCATAATGGTGAATAGTATGCTTGATCCTATCGATTTACCTAAATCTCTATCAGTAATTCAATGGGGAATCGAAAGCCCTTCCCAATAAGAGACAGACAGCGATGTTATAGATTATGAGCGCCGCGGAGAGGGAAGGAATCGGTGGCGAGAGAGCATGGGTACAAGTGAGAACGGATTCGGCCGAAGACGTCAATACTTGGGCGGAACTCCGAGGGCTGCATGGAATCCCCTGTGAAAGCTGACGCCTTAGCACCTTTGCATGGCATTTTTGCGCCGCGAAGTCAAAATCGTATACTTCCGGATCTTCATAACTTTTCCCGCGCTCGGACGTCCCTCCACTAACCTGAGCTCGGGTTGTGCCTTCAAGGGCATATCGAGTTGCTATCAACAAAAGAAATTGAAGAAAAATCAGGAAGATAAAGTGGTTGAACGGCGTAGATTGCTCCTACTTCTAAGCCTTGAATAATATAATGCAATTTAATATGTGCCATCATTTTTCTAAAAAGATGGTTCAGGGCCACATATGTAGATTCACGGAAAAGGTTAGACTCAAAATGATATGGATCAATATCTATTATCATCGCTGTGTCCGTCATTTGATGATATTGTATTGGTGTATCAGGATGTTCTACGTTCCGTTTTGCGTCCTCTTTCGTCATTTCCACACTCATCTGATTTCTTGATTGGCGGAAATACAGCGCATTCTCTAACACCGAATGTTGTCCAGGATGTGGAAGAGTCTATCATGTCGCAAAAGGTATGAGCTTTGAAAGAAAAGGCCTTTGAGATTTTTTCTCTTTAGTAAACTTTCACTGAATTACGAATAGTTCTTGGATTGTTCAGTCACATCCACTCCGTTTCAGAGACAACTACTGAGTATTGCTTTACATGCTCTTTTGAAACAAGGCCGATGGAAAACTGTTTCTCTTTCCGAATGGGGGAAAACTTTTGCCGCTGATTGTGCTACCGAGGTATTTTTTGTTCAATTCTTATTATGTGCTGACAATTGTCGCTGTAGCAGTATGGACGAGAGCAATAGTAGGTTCCTGGAACATGACAGTCCTTTTCGGATCAACACTCAATCCCAAACAATAACAGTTCATTAGCTCAGAACAAGAGGTGTTCCAAAGGTCAAGCGTGCGTCGAGGAAACATTGATGAGGAGGTGGAAGGCGTAAGTGTTGGGATCAGTGAAATGAGTGGGGACTCGGACTTAGGACGATGGCGGCTTTTGGGTGGGGGGTACTCGCACTTGGACTCGTGCAAGTCTCTCCCAAAACCCGTACTGAGTCCAAGTGCGAGCCGCTCCTCCCCCCCCCTCCCAAAAAACGCAAAAGGACTCGCACATGGAACCAGAGCGGCGTTTTTGGGAGAGGGACTCGGATTTGGAGATTCAGCGGAGGGCGGCGTTTGGGTGCTAGACTCACACGACTCCAGTGCGACTCGGGAAGACTCACACTTGGACTCAGTGCGACGGTCTTTGCGAGATGGGGCTCGAATTGGACGAGGCCGGGGCGTTTGGGGAGAGGTACTCGGCACTTGGATTCATTGCAAAGGTTTGGGAAGCTCGGATTTTTGACTCGCACTTGGCCCAGTCGACGTCTTGGACGGGTGGCGACTCGGAATTGCGACCAGGGCCGGCGTTTCGGCTGGGAGGGACTCGCACTGTTGAGACAGAGGGCGTTTTCGGGGAGGGACTCGGATGATTGGACTCAGCGGCGTCTTTAGGAGGGGGACTCGCGTTAGACTCAGTGCGAGTCCCTCCTCCAAAACGCCGCACTGAGTCCAAATGCGAGTCCGATACCTTTGGGGGGACTCGCACTTGGACAAAGCGCGGCGTTTTCGGGAGGGGGACTCGGACTTAGAACAAAGGCGGCTTTGGGTGGGGATACTCGCACTTGGACTCATTACGACGTTTTTGGGGGGCTCGGGTTTTGACCTCCCTTGCACAGTCGACGTCTTCTGGAAGGTGGGGACTCGGACTTGGATCCAGGGCGGCGTGTTTTTAGGGGGGTTACTCGCACTTGGACTCACTGCGACGTTTTTGGGGAGCTCGGACTTTGACCCCGCACTTGGACCCAGTGCGGCATTTTCGGAGGGGGGAGGGACTCGAATTTGGATCCAGTGTCTACGTTTTTGGGGGACGAGCATTTGGACAATGCACGGCTTTTTTGGGAGGGGGACTCGGATTTGGAACCGAGTTCGACGTTTGTGTGGGAGGATACTCGCACTTGGACTCAGTGGTGAGTCTCCCTCCAAAACGCCGTACCGAGTCCCCCCCCAAAAAAAAACCGCAACGGAACTCGCACTTGCACTCAGTGCGACGTCTTTTGGAGGGTGAGGCATTTGTCACTGGTTGATCGTTGGCGGCCTCGACTAGCTGTTATAGCATCCGTTCTCACTCCTCACTCTTCTTACCTCTACCGCGTAGATGGCTGAAGACCACGGCACGTTGTTACGCACAGCTCTTCGTCGTCACTTGGCATTAAATCTTTATTCGGAAACATTGAAGCTACCTGCGATAAGCTCGTTTTCTCTGAAGATGTGACACAGGGACAACATTCAGCGGGTGTTTTCCTTGTGACCACACATGTGCCCACTTGGGATATTCGTTCAGTTTTCCAAGCAAGGAATGCAAGGAATGGAACAGCTCCCGAGGTTGCCCGTAGAAGTGCGAGAGAACCGTACGAAACGTCTTAAAATCTCCTTTCTCCATGTGAATGTCCGTCCTCGCATTTCAAGGAGAACTCGCCATAGTTGAAGGGAATTGGCTGGATCAGGATACCACAGCCATCGTGAGTCTCGACTCTATCGGATTATTCCTCAACAGCACCCCTCAGCAGCAACAACAGAAAAAAGCTGAGAAATGCATCACCTCAAAAACGACTTCATCAATTTTCTCTACCTACAGCTTTGCTGCTTCTAGGAGGAATGCAACTATTCCTTCTCTAGCAAATTTGAGCGTAATTGTGATCATAACAGATGTATTTTTGCCCAGTCGTTTTTCACGAACGATAAAACTTGAAGAAACGAAGGTGCCGAAATACTTCTAACAATTATGAGGACAACCTAATATATCGGTTTCTAAGAAGTCATGGTTCACGTTATGAGCAAAAGTTCCTTTCCAGGGCGTCAAAGCAGACGAGGCGCAAATTGAGCAGATGTTCTTCGCATGTGTTGGACAGTTCGAGCTGATAGGCATTATAAGAAGCAGCAGTGATCGTGAAACTCCCTCAGTTACCATCGCTCACCATGTTCTTAGTTCGATAATGTAACAGAATCACGAAAAAGTTAGACGGTGTCCCAGTCACTGCACATCATTATCGTAGCATACGGGTTGTTTTCGAAGTGACTAAATATCATGCGTTCGAACCTTTTGCTGTGAATATTATGGGGTGTGCGTCATATGGCGCGATCCCATTGGCATTGGAGCGCACAGGCCGTAATTACCACGTCCTGCTGTGGCCGGACAACTCGTCCGCGCAACACATTCTGTTCCGTTCCTCTTGCCTTGGCATCAGGCCAACGAAGCTACCCACTCTTTTTTAGATCTTTGGGACTCAGCGAGATTTTTGAGGGCCCAAATTATCACATCGATCAATTGCTGAAGTCTAGCAGCTGTGTGATACGGACGAGTTGTCCTGGATACTGTGCGCTCTAATGCCAATGGGATCGCGCCATATGACCGCCTCCCATATTATGAAATGCGAGTTCATGTCGAGGTAGCGTTTTCTCATTGACGAGTATCGTAGCGTACGGACATGTTCGTGTATTTTTCTCTAGTGTGAACCGTTGCTAAACGTATAAAGCTTCTCAGATGTCCAAGTTCGACTTTGTCTAACTTTTGGCGCGGTCTTCAGGGTATGAGAGCGTGGTCGCTAAGCGT